GTGGACCACATTGTTGTGTGGCCTAATGCATTTGTTGGATATCTCTTGTGTACATCACTCCCATTGAACGTGCAACATCAATGTTCGATGTACACACACAGACGCACATACAAACATACACGCACTTCCTTCACATGCGACCTTGATCACATTGACCAATCAGACTGCAGCACTTGTCTGCTTGTTAACGATTGGCTGACTACTCTTGACCTGTACGGTCAGTACCGGCTGATGACAGGCTTTTGTGATTGTAAATGAATTGTGATGCTATCGGTTTGTTCCTAATTTAAAGGATTTACTTCCGGGCATATTACAAGTTCTATCTCGTTTTTTTGTTTCACATTATCGATCCGTTTCCTTCCAGCAAGTTCTGCAAATATGCGCTAATGTGCTGTCCATTCGGTGACCCATTTTCAAAATGCACACTGTTTTTAACCATGGCCAACTTATTCCCGGGAATGATGACATTGCTGGCTGGTATATGTATGACCAGCTCGTGTGTTGATGGACCTTTCAGTCTTGTTCGGCCGGCATTAGCCACGACATACTCCAAGTTAATAATCTTGAGTCTCAAAGGTGAATTTGTCGTGTATATAACATATGAAGAGTGAACTGAAAGGCTAAAAGCACTGAACAGCTGTTTCGACCTGGTTGGTTCTCATCATCATATATATATATATATATCATGTAAATAGAAAATGAAAAGATGTCTCGTCAGCTGCCCGGTGACCGAGTGGGTAGCATGGTTGCGTTTTACCTGTACTGAGGTCCCGGGTTCGATCCCAATGGGGTCGATGGATTTACAGCTGTTCAGTGCTTCCTAGCTTACACTTCACGCTCTATTTTCTATTCAGACGACGAGTTCACCTTCGAAATTGAATCAAATCTTCCATTGCTCACTTGGAATCTTGAGTCTGTTTTGCATCCTAGCTGTTATTGGTCTCGTCATGTTGAAAATGAAATTTTCAGTCACTTAGACTGGACAAATCTGCTGCTGCACAGCAGCGCGTTTCGGAATATTTGCACGCCGTCCTTTCGGTTGATCCTGTGATTTATTGAAGAAAGCCACCGTCCAAACCTGTACTCCATATCAGAGAGTACAATGTTAGTCAAACGAGTGCACTCATTGCTTCCAACTAGATATGATCAGGACTGTTGCATAAGTGCGTCCGACTTAAGTGCGTACGTTCTGCCAACCTGCGCATCGTTCATTTGCTAGTTCCACAGATGTTATCGATTGACGTCTATTCAGATCAATCAACACACGCACTTATCTATGCCCATACTGCCGATCGACATAGGCCCGATCCTGATTGGCTGTCAGTTCTATTACTGCCTTGTTGAATATACGCTTGACACGATTGATTGCGAATGAGTCATAATAAATCTATCCTACCCTACGTACGGTTGCTCTGCTTTGCTAGCGGGCTACTGGTACGGGACTATATAGACAGTTTGAAATACAAACCTAACAGGGGTGTTCCCGAATTGTACATCAACAATATCATTCGTGCTACGGGACCAGCAATAGCAGTTCCATTTGAGAACGTATCCTATCTCTATTGGTGACAACTAATTGATCTTAATTCAATGTGACTGAAATGTCAATTTAACTGGATTTTATTGTTTTTCACTCGATACGAACAGCACGATCTCATTCGGTTGTAACAGAACAGGTGGTAGTGAAAAGTGTCACTGCTCTGGTGACGTCGAAGACAGTGGTGGTGGTGGTGGTGTTCCATCTCATGTTACAATTCAGTCTTGAAGCGCATGAAATCACATCGGCGATAGCGACCGAATTGTTGCTGATCTTGCGCTTCTCGCCATCCTCTGTGAACTTGAGCAATATATCTTTGGTCAGAGGAAAGGACCTTCACACAACACGTGAAATCTCTATGTGGCGATGCTAGCCTATGGGATACCGCAACCCACTGAGCGACGCGTTACAGTTTCTGGACCACTGTGGTGAGTCAACCTACCCAGGCGATACCAACCAAACGTCTACGAGTTACAGTTTCTGGACAACGAACCACAGACCAATTGTATTGACCAATCAAAAGTCGTGCGGTTCAGACAGATTCTGTATGACGTCAAGAATACACTGTTGGATACCTGAATAACCAATAAACTTTCTCGTTACATATTACTTAATACCCTTGGTTACTTCCAATAAATGAAGTACTAATTTGGTATCTTTTTCCTTGCGTCTCGATGACTGGCAATACCAGCATGCAAGTGCTAGTGTGCGACTCAGTGTTTCCGTAGTGTCCGTGATTCGTGGTCTGCGCCTACTTCAACTAAGACACGTTAAGTGCAAGATTGAAAAGACTTTGGTGCAGTGGGTGGGTCCAACAGACGAGACACTGATGGGCTTTACGAGTAGGGAATCGAACGGTTCAAATGATTATCTTGAAGACTCTTGGCTGAGCTCTGATCAGGGAAGCTTTGAAGTTTTCCATNAACCACAGAATTTCCCAGATACGCGAAAGTAAAAGTCAGACAGAAGAGATTATTCTGACGTGAGCGAGTTGAGATTAATCAATCAGTCAATCAATCGATCAATCATTCAGTATCATTTCTTACGACAAATGACCGTGGTATGAGTTAACTGCTAAAAAATATGATTTTTACCGAAATCCTTGTACCAATAATACGCGTAACTGATCTCCTGGGATGCAACAAATCTGTTTGTGTAAAAAACACAGAAGAGGATTTTAGAAAACAAACAGCACATGCATCGGATACAGGGCTTTCACGTGATCAATACTGTAGGTATGTGCTCATGTATAGAACAGTTTGGGCTAAAATGTTTGCAGGAAAGTATGAGAGACACCCTCAGTGCAGTGCGATACACTAAAAAATACAGAGGTCAAAATGCACGAATGTGGACCATTCCAGTGGTGGTGGCGGTGGTGTTGATGGTGGTGGTGGGGAGGTCGACTGGGGGTGGTGGTATGGGGTGGTTCGGTTATACGTACGGCAGATCTGAGCAATTTGTTTCGAGTTTCCAACCGATTGTCTTTCAGCAGTGCAGACTACATATAAAAATATAGTTTAATAAAATGGTAAATTATTACGGGAGACAAATGAAAACTATCATACAGAGAATCTTAAAGAGAACAGAACCGTATTCTGACAAACGTACTGACTATTCAGGTAACTACAAATCACCTGATCAAAAGACTGTACAGTAATGTAGCGGGATAAAGGATCACCTGTATTCCAAGTGAGTTGACTAGAATGGTGGATTATTGAAAAGGCGTTCGAGAGCAGAGTGTTGATCTGTTTGATCAAGCCCTACTCAGTGCAAATACCGGGGCGCAGGATTTTCCCGCCGAAGTGAGATTTCGAAACGCTTCCATCCGGGGCTATAACCGAGTCGGTGGTCATTCACTGAGGGGAGTTGACTGAAATCCATGGTTCCAAATTAACCAAAAACCGGCATACGAACCACGTACAAATATACATACTTTCCTCGTGGTGATAGTGGTCACCGGCTCAATTGAGTACCGATAGATGGATGCAGATATACTCCCTCAAGGAGATGGACTGAGATCTCTCACACTATGTTTCTGTTTGTAATGATATAGTCGTCAAATCGGCTAATGCGACCGCACAAACAAATTTTGATCAGTAAAACTGAGTGCACTATATTACTTTGGCTAGCGAGTACTCAGACTTGATGGTTGTGAAAGCTAAATTGATTGTTCTTCTCACTAAGTGAGTTTCTCGCGTGTTCGGTGAGTGCACGCGGGGATGGGGCATTATTCAAGCACCGCGGTAATGAGTCCAAACAACCAGTTCGGGCATGGAGATTCCAGCAATCCGGACAGCCAAATTACACGCACACTGATTGGCTGGATGCTGGAGGTACATTCACTCTGATTGGTTCATTTCGGTTGGAGGGAGGGGGCAAACATGGGGAGTATATTGACAAAGAGTGGGCATAAGAAAATAAAAAAACGATTTCCTTTTGCTTATGATATTTATTTGTATGTATGTTGCTAAAAGCGTTTCGCTGTAGCGATAACTCATTTCGGTTTGTACCGGACTTCGTGCTATTCAGTGCGGGTGTGTTCAGGTCAAATCCGTGCTCGCGTGTGCTATTCGATCTCGTTTACCATCACCATACATTTTCTTTGAAGGTAGCTTTAATAAAATCAGAGTTCTTTCTTTGATAAGCATCTAGATTTTAGCTGGAGTGATCGAGTTCCAGTTGATAGGAATGTAGTTATTTTAGTGTACAATCTCTGGGAGCATCGAGCACTTACTGGTAAAACAAACGGAGGTCGTTTCAAATAACGTTTCCTTTTCCCCTGGATCGTGTTGGCCGGAACACAGAAGGTAATCTGAAATAAACAAGATGAATTAAAGCGTTCAGTACATATTTCCTCGACATATTTGATTATTTGTATCAAAATTCCAAAATCATTCAATTCGTGTTGTCTGGTCGACTGAATTATTGTTCTGAGTTGCATGAAATTCAATGACCTCGGTGGGATTGACAGGGCCTAGGGTTTTGTACAAACATGGTTTACCACCTCAGCTACGAGGCCATAACACTGATCTCGTCACATTTAGTTCACCAATCTGATTGATCAGGGGCGTAGGAAATCGTTCAAATCGTTAGTTGACTGATTGAAGTCTTATTTTGATATTGTGAAAAGTTCAGCAGCCTCGTGGGATTCTACCCCCCATGTATGGACGCCTCCCACGCTTTTGTACAGCGCACACTCTACCAGCTGATCTACGAAGCCAAACCGAAAGAGCACTGATATTTTCACATTCGAATTTGCCCATCCAAACTTACAGAGGCATATGACATCCACAAGTTAGCATGTAAGCCGATTGCCACGACAGGTTTTCCTCAGAATTCACTACAGTCCACCGAATGAACGAACACCTAGGGCAAGGTTAATTGCTCAAATAATTATTTGGCAAAATACCCCATCAAAAGTAAACGGAAATCAAACTAAGATGTTTAATAACTAAGTAATTTTGTAGACTGCTACAAATTTTATGCATGATATGCTCTGCTCTTGTTTCCCGACCATGTCCGTGAAGCTGATGAGGCATTTGTCTGACCTCGAAAATACGAGTATAAGAAACCGTAAAATACATTCGTATGAACGTGTTTTGCCAATGAAAAAATGTCATACAATGATGTAATCGATTGCCTTTGTTTTTACTTTTTTGTTTTGCCTGAATATACAAATGTACAGGTAACTTTCGAGAGCCGGTTTAGGGGCTTACGACCATATAGTCTGTCTGGGAGATACAGAAATGGGGAAGATGGGTGGTGGCNGTGGTGGAACGGTTCGAACCCGCAACTTCCGGGGCGCTGTTTTGATGACCCGAACGATTTGTTCATCACTTCCAGCGCAATAATGAATAACTAATGGAGAAATTGACCAATCATTCAAAGAACACAAGGAATCGAACATGATTGCATCCGGTCCATGAAGTATCGAAAAATCTTTGTTGGTTAACTTATTGTGGATGATTAGAACAAGGTTTCTTCTCACCTGACATGTATCTTCCATAGCAGCCAAGTGGGCAGTATATCCATCTGGACATCTTCTGGGCCAAAGTGATGCAAACAGGCTAGAGTAATCACCAATCTGTGGGTTATCGGTCTCGAACACACGATCTGCCACTCGACCACTCAACGATTGCGAAGCTCGAGTTCCCATTGCTGAACTCGCCCGCATTGTGGAATTCATCCAACTTCGTACAGCTGCCTGTTCGTTGGTTGTAAAAGTTTGATTCATGGATAGAAGAGACACCAGCGGATTACCGTACTGACAACTATAGAACCCGCCAAAACGCATCGCATGTTTACTGGCCATTTCATGATCGGTGGACAAACACACGCGGATACGACGTCCCATAACTAGGGGCCAGCTATACTCGGGACAACTAAACTGATGTGTGATCGGATTGACCTCCTTATCTGTGTAAATACCGCCGAATACGAGACCGAGATCCTCTTGCAAGTCAACAGTCATGTTCAAACTGGGGTCCAGTGCGCACCAATATTGCACAGTGATTGCACACAGCTGTTCACATTCCGGTTGTCCGCCCCATTTGGACGGTGGTTTGCAAGAATTGATACAACTACGCACTTGGGGCGATAAAAGCTGAACGGATAAATAATCCCGGGGACAAGTGAAGTCACCGGTAGCGGGATTTTTGACAGCAACCATATCACACAGTTGAGTCGGACCTTTACAGGTTTGAAAAACACCACCCAGAGGGAGGTGAGAGGATTCGTAGATTTGATTGGGATCATCCTTGCTGCACACTTCCGCGTCCACGTTGGCTTCGTGATCATAGAAGACTGATCCGGGATTCATACAACCTGTAAGGTGATACAAACGCAATCACTTACGAAAAACCGAGGGAAAACAAGAACGAAGTAATGACAATACAGGTGTGACATTCTGTTCGTATTTAATCATTCCATCACTAAGATTGACTGTTGTCAGTAGTCAAACTCTATTCGGACAATCTTCCCTGTTTCCTGCTTTCCTATTGGTTGACTGCAATCTGTCTTTGTTCTGGTGACCGGCCACCTTGGTTTGCTCTGACCACCACGCAGTGGTGCTCCTCGGTGGTCTGGCGCTGATCAAATTACTTCGAAAGTACGTTTCCTTTCCATTTCAACGTTGTTCTTTACCAGTCCGTATGTCAACGTATTGCTTTATCATTACAGAGCCCCTGCAAAAGACAAGAAATTGCTATTGACCTCGGGGTGCGAATATTCTATCAAAGACTAACAAAAAACCATATGTACGAATCGCTTAACAACAACAGGTGTTGATCAAATTCGTGTAACATCACTCTCATTTTGGAAGTACAGTTCAGTTTTCAACATCTCATAATTGTGTATTGATGGCCATGGGTGAAGTGCATTTCTGCCTAACTTTATCTCTCATTGCAATGTCTTCTCAGTTTTCTTCCATCACCGTTTGAATATGGAAGCGACCTTGAGTGTCACGATATGATTTGTAATAGTTTAAAACTTACAGCTCAGATTTGGAAAATATTTCATGCCATCGAGCATGAAATTTCATTCTTTCCAATGATTCCTGTTCCTTAAGAATGTTTATTAAGTTGAATACACGTATTCTAAAGTGCTTATCTCTTTTCATTCATTGTATGGTAAATAGGCCAATAGATGAAAATATTCTAGCTTAATTAAATTGATAAGCTATTTGGCTACAAACTATCCACGCGCTATCCCTAATATTGACAGTGGTCATCAGTGGCTAGGATGCAGCATGTATTACAGGAAACTGGCAAATTCTGTTGGACAGTCAATTTGGTGAACTCCATGCTGAAGTGACTGCCTCCAGTGCTCAAAAATGATTAAGGGCAAATAGAACATGGATGAGATGAAAGTACAATATCTGTATACAGTCACTGAGTCAATTTGACGAATAAATTCTAGTTGTTTTTTGTTGTGGCTCTATTATTTTACAACTGATGCACCAGAAACCGTTGTAAACATCGCCAAATCATATTTGACTAATAGAATCAAAGAACAAATGAATTTTTCCTTACAGATAAGTTGTATCTGAATTGGGGCAATATAATATTCGATCCCGTAAAATGAGGCTCAAAACATTGAGATTTGGGATGAATAAATGTGCTGAAAGTCAGGGTGTTCTTGTACGAGTTTAGTCAATACCTATAGTTTTTTTTCGGGTGCTGCTTGGCGGGAAAAAACGTGTGAAATGGGTATCCTTCAGCGGACAATATGGCAAACATTTTTCACAGTGGGCCGCAGTCGCTCAAATGTATGAATGAAACAAGGTTCCACGACGCGGTTTCTCAAAACGCAGTCACTTTGAAGAGCTGGGGTTTAACAATCAATGTTCTGGCACAAAATCCATTAGGCCTCGCATGGATCCGCATCACACTGCAAGTTCACTTGCGACGTCCAAGGCGAATCGACTCCGGATTGGATAACTGGGATGAATAAGACAGCTGTCTTCCGATCGATCAATAGAAGTGTCAAGGACGCGGTCTGATTGGTGCGTCACCACGTAGTTCTCCTACGCCCAATTGATCCGCTCAGATTTGCGTATCGCGTCATGACCAATACAGTACACGCTGACTGATGTTCTCCAGTCGTGTTCTCTCTCCGTATCGCTGTTAGGAGATAGACAAGAGGCGCTTGTATCGACCGTACGTCTAATCAAGAACATACAATGTTCATATCCACGGAAGCATTCATCATGTGATTTTTCCTATCACCTATCATGTGTTCCTCGCGTAATTTATACCAAAACCCACATTGGATCGTTCGTTGCGTGGGTTGATCTCAAGGTTCACTCGTACCTACTCTGCCCCTCTTCTTTCCGCTGGCAATTGCGCCTGTACATCTCTATGTCCTCAGCTCCACTATCGTACATTGACCGTAAAATGGTTGTGTCTATCAGTTCTTGTGCAATTTATTTGTGACGTATCTAACTGAGACCCGTTCAGTCCGGGTCTGTCTCTCAGCTCAACTATCTCTCACCAGTCAGTGTTGGTTACAGTTGCAATTAGATAGAATCAGAGCCGACGTCTATTCGTATTTGTTCGATCGATAATTGTATTTTTTACCTTCATGGAATCACATACGACCTTTTTTTGGAGCCAAAACCGTAAACACAACTACAACCCGGACATTCACCAGTGTTCTGCAAAAACGACTTTCACAATTCCGACATGGAAAGATGGTTTTACTTCGTCGGCCACGTAAGTTTGACAGTGTGCGAGTGCGAAGCAATAAATGTTTCTGGGTGCGCCGTAAACGACGAATACGAGATACAGATGATACGTTGGAAAATGTTAGTTGTAATCTCGTATTGTGATTCTATTGTTCAGTGATTGCAACTCACACACAGAACCAAATATCACAATACAGCCGGAAGCACAGCACAGCTCACAAATCATACGACGATCGCTGTATAGTCGGACTGTGGTAAGGTTGGAACTCAGTCAATGTCAGCGTGGTGGGCCATGATTTTCTACCACTACAAATGTGGTTTCAAGCAGC